TATATATATATATGTTTAAATTATTTTCATTTCATTAGTTATGTAAATGCTTTTTTTTTCTTATGATGCAATGTGAATCCTTTGTTTTCAAGGTGAGGGCGACAACACTTGAAATTCCCTTTGAGCCATCCTTCATAACATCTTTTTTTTATTCACTCTTTGGTTGTCACATTAATTTTTGTCCATCTATCGAACATGCACATGGAATCCAAATGCTCGGTCAAGGAATTTCAGAGAGTGCTAGCATCACAATGCTCGGTGTTGTCCTTTGACAATGTTTCAAGGCTCGAGAGGAGAGATGTTCATAACTGTGACATTCTGTTGGAGGCTCCAGGTTTAAATGATCGGGGAATATTCTGGGGGATGACTTGTGCTATAATTGAAAAATTTATTCAGGGCCGTTTCCATTTGCTTTTTTGGAAGGTTCAAACTATTCTAAATTAGTAGGACATTATCCCCACCCAACTTAATGCGGACTGCATAATGATGCACAATAAATTTACCTATTTTTAATGTACATTTAATGTTCATTTTATGCAAATTTTTTATGATATTTCACTTTAAAAGAAGGCATTTTGCATACTTTTGATTCCATGTACAGGAAATAGATTTTTTGAAATAATGGTGCAAAATGGTGCAATTTAGAGTCAAAACGAGCAAAGATGAAAATTTTAACCTATCACATTTAGCTATTTAATTCTATGCTTGATGTCCTTTACATTTATCACATGTTTTGGAATGAAGTTATACTTTAAATAAAGATTATTTGATGCTTATCTTGTAAATATAACTATTTGTAGCAAAATCGTGTTGAAACAAGGCCAAACAGAGTTGAAAAAGAGTGAAACGGGACGAAACGAATGAGTTGCATGCAGGGTGGTCCCTAGGTGCCCATAATTGGCACCTAGGCTTCAGATAATAGAGAAGATGACACCTAGTCACATGAAACTAGCGCCTAGGGTCTAGAAACTATCTAGGGATAGTTTTTACACTTTTTGGTGGATTTTTGAAGGTTTTAGATGGCTATACAGGCCTCAATGACTCGTGCAATTAATCTAGAAATTTAAAAATTCTAACGATGTGTCTCTTGGAGTGAATGGGTGTGTCTCTTTTAGTGAAGAGGTGTGTTCTTGGAAAAAGGAGGTTTTGGTATCTCTTCAAAAATACGGGCTTGAAGCCTCTCATGAAGAGTCTGGAGGAAGGATTTTGAAGAGATTTTTAGTGTTATTGCAGAGAGGAGTTGCAGATGTAGATTTCAATCATGTCCGGAGAGATTGGTGAGGGATTTTAGAGAAATGTGTAAAGGAATTGAATGAGTAGAGCATGGATTGGTAGGAGACATTGTTGTAAAGATTGTCATCTTTCTTTCAAAGGAAAAAAGCTAAATATTGTGTTTTTTATTATCTTGTAGCTATTATAAACACTTCCTAGTGGATTTTCTTGTATTTAATAAAGTTTTATGTTTAGTTTTATCCATGCATCATGTGTAGTTTTTAATACACATTTTTTTTAATATGAAGTAGTGACATGTTTAGAAAAATATATTTTATGATAGAATAATTCTTATTTTCATGTGATTAGTAATATTTCTTTTGTTTCACTGATATATTTTAAATGGTAATAAACTATGCAAAATTTTGTGGTAATTGAAACTAAGACTCGGGAGAGCAGTGATTTTGCAACTTGAGTGCACTCACATTGGCCGGTTGGCTAGTAAAATTGTTTGCACGACAAATCAACTTTTAAGAAATTATAATTCAATGATTTGCATCTATTTGATGCTTCTATGTGATAGATAGTTGCATAAAACAAATAGAATAATAAGCGTACATATACACTCGGAAGAGGGTACGTAGACATATGTTCATTATTGGCACATAATTTATTATATAATTCTAACATCTCTTTTACTTCTTATGCCATTATTTTAATTTTATTTTACTTTTGCAATGAAATGGAAGCAATGTATAGAAATTTAAACTTGCTTAAATCTTCTTTTATTTCATTAATGTGATTATATTTCATCGGCTCATAATTTACTTTACTAACATATCACTCGTAACGTTAAAATTTGTTGAGAAACTTAACCAAGAGGGCTAAGATTACACGAAGTAGTGAGTACCACATTTTAATTTGGAAAGAGCCATGGCGATTGTATAAGGGGAGTGCAAATAGATAGGGAGATAAAATTTGATGGGCGTAGAAGTGATGTTTATAGGGTGATAGGCTAGATTCTATTATCAACTTGTTTTAGATTTGGAACTAAGGGTCCTTAGTTGGGCTTATAGAGAGGGCACAATGGGTAATCTATAGGTGACAGACTAGAACCTTCCCAACGCTACTATGTTGAAACTAACTATAGATTAGCCAATTTTTATTATGCTTGGAAAAGGTAAAGAATTGGTATTTTGATGCACCAAAAATATATGCATTTTAACCTATATTTTAGACTCATTTTTGGTGATATTATGCTTTAAAATAAGGTATTTTTCATGTTTTATTGTAGGTTAATGATTTGTAGCACTTGAATAAAAAATGAAGCAAAAAGGATGGAATTTAGAGTCGAAATAGCAATTTAGAATAAATACTCAGTATCGACGGTGCCAGCAAGGACACAAACAACACCAGCATGAAGGAGGAGCTAGAACAGTGGGGGCGCCGAAGTCGCCATTTGACAGAGAGCACCAGAAATAACTATTCCCAGGGAAGGTAACAATAAATTAAATAGATTTGGTAAATTAGGAAATTTAGTGATAAAATAAATAAAATAAAAATAAAATAAATTTTAGAAAAATAAAAAATCATAAAATATATATTTTTTGAAATTTAATAGTACTTTTAAGAAATTTTTCTTTACTTATTATATTTGTTTATGTGTAGTAATGGATCTGAAAGTTTAGTACCTTACGATTCAGAATTAGAATGCACTATTAGAAAAGTTTGAAAATAACATAAAGAAATTAGAAATTTGAACGAAATGACGAATAACTTAGATAATCAAATAAATGAAAATCGACAAAGACCTTTAAAAGATTATTCTAATCTTACATCAGATGAACATCACTTGACTATTCAAAATTCAGATGTTGCTACTAATTCATTTGAGCTTAAACCTATTATTATCCAATTGGTACCAAATAATCAGTTTGTACGAATACCTAGTGAAGATCTTAACTTACATTTTGCTAGTTTTCTTGAAATTTGTGCTACTTTTAAATATGATGGAGTGTCTAACGATGTTGTCAGACTTAGACTTTTTCCTTTTTCATTAAGGGACAAAGCTAAGGCTTGGTTAAAGTTATTAGCAACTGGATCAATCAGAACTTGGGGAGAACTATCACAAAAAATTTTGGCTAAATATTATCCACCCTCGAAAACTGTTAAGCTTAGAAACAATATTACATCTTTTTATCAGTTTGAAGGGGAATCAATATATGAAGCTTGAGAAAGATATATAGATTACTTTAGGGGATGTCCACACAATACTTTACTAAATTGGGTAATTATACAAACTTCTTACAATGGATTAGTAGGATAACTTAGATCTATTATAGATGCTGCTGCAGGTGGATCATTACTATCAAAACCTTTTGATGAAGCATTTTCTTTAATAGAGGAAATGACTACTAATATTTTTTAATGGCCCTCAGAATGGGTAAATCCAAAGAGAGTAGCTAATATTAATGGCTCTCATGCAATGTCTATTTTTGCATCTCAAATTGCCGCTACATCAAAG